CCTCCGCCGCCGCCGCTTCCTCTTCCGCCGTGCGCGGCGTGGCGGGAGATTCGGAGCCGCGGCGAGACCCGCCCCCCTTCCGGCCCCGGAACCGGCCCCGGCCCCGGGCTTGGCCGGGGAGGGCGCGAGGCCGGCGGCGGTGACGGGCGTGCGGAGCGGGGCTGGTGCAGGAGGCGCCTCCATCGCCCGTGGGGAGGGCGATGAGGTCTGGCGAGAGCTGTGCGCGCGGCCGTTAGGACCGTTGGAGCCGTTGGGAGCGGTAGCCGGTGAGTCACCGGCCGCCTGCGCTTGGTGGGGGCTGTTTGGCCCTGCTTTGCTCCCACTCACAGTAATTATGCGGCTTTTAGTAAATCAGGCGGTTTACGAACTTGGTGATAGCTTTTCCAGCCGTGCTTAGGTTACCCACAGCTCTCCCTACGAGGCTGCTTAGCTTCACTGCAGTCCTGTGTGCAAAGTTAATTCCTTATCAGCCCTCTGCTCCCTAGGTCGGACTTTGTGAGTCTCCTGGAGTGTAGCTTTGCACCTTCTTAAGGCTAAAGCAATTCAGCTAGGCCTAAAACAACTTAAATGTGTTTTTGTTTGTTTTTCTGTAGGAAAAACAATGTCCAACTAGGTTAATGTTTCAGGAGATAGATCTTCCCACACCTCCCCTTCCACCACTGAAAAAAAATGGAGAGGCCTGCTTTCCTCTTGTAGAAGAAGAGGCAAAAAAACAARCCTAAGGAAGGATGCTTCTGCATGAGCAAGTCTTGTCCTACAATGGAGAAGTCCTCGTGTTTCAGCTGTCAGGACCAAAGCACGTGGAAGGAGCAGCTGGTAAAACAACAAACTTATCTGTCAGAAGAATGGCCTTTGACAGAGGCACCAAACTGTTTACCCAAAAGTCTTCTGGGGTATTCGGCATGCACGGCAGTCCCTCAGAAGCTGAAATGGTCTGTTGCAGCTGTACGACGGATTCCAGATCAGGACTGGTTCTTCCTTGTGTTCTGCTGAAAAAGAAGAAACGGAAAAACGTTCTCAAATACCTCCTGTTGCTACTTCACAGCTCCAACCAGTTTGAGCAGTGCTTCCATTTTAAGCTGGACTACGAGCTGGAAGACGACGTCAGGCTGCTTGCTGGCCCCGCGGTGCTGTGGCGACGGGCCGGCCGGCTCTGCCGCGTGTCCCGCGGCTCCTGCGCCGTTCAGGGCGCCCCGCTGCAGCTCTGCTCCGTGGTGTGGGCAGGGGAGGCGGGAGAGGAAGGCGCCCTGGTCTTGGGAGTGAGGGCTGCTCGCGGGCTGGAAAGCGAAGATGATCCAGAGCTTTCCACCTCGGATGGAGCTATCTGGGGGAGTGAGTTCTTTGCCTATGCGATTGAAACGCAGAAGATTCTTCCTGGCACGTGCTTTATGCCTCACGCTTACAGCACGGTGGTATCTTCTGTCTGTATCTGCAAGAAGGAGGTGTTGAGAGAACAACTACGAATATCCCTTGTTGCTGTCACTCGCAAGAATCAACTGATTTGGTTCCAAGATGGTCTCCCTAAAGGCGTTTGTGAGCTTCCATATGAGAAACCCTGTTCAATAAGAACAGCTGTGACTGCTAGCAATAACTTGCTGTTTATTGTTTCATTTGCCTCTGGAAATACCTGTGCTGTATGGAGAGACGGTTTCCAGGTATTGATGACCTTAAGCAACTTCTTTTTCCTGCTATAAAATAACTCTGTTATGTTGTTTCAGTTAAAACAACTTTTATAAAGTATCCAACTGTTCTGCTTTTATTACTTTTTCATATAAATGAAAGTGAATCTTGAATTCTATGATTTAATAATTGATTTAATAATTTGTTTTCTGAATCCCAGTCAAAACCTCTGATATTAGTTCACAACTTATTCTGGTCGAGAAGTTCCAGCTATAAGTTGGTTATGAGTGTGCTCACATAGTCTAGGTTAGAGTGATATAAAACTATTGTAATCTGAAAGTGATGCCTTCTTTTTGAAACTTGCCAGCTTTGTGATTCTCACTTTCCTGTTACAGAAAGCATTGTTTCATGTAAAGTACAAGAAAAAATATCTCGCTTTTTCTCCTGGTTTTTAGAAAGCTAGAGGTGGGGGGTTTGGGCATGTTTTTGTTGTTGTTTGTTTTTAATAATAATAATAATACTCTGTGAAGAAGGATTGTGTAACTCTGAAAATTTAAAATTTTGCCTTATTTATTCCTCAGGATTTTGTGTGCCTAATTAGCATACAGTTTCAGTTTTACTTCTCCACTGTATTTAAGTGTAGTGCAGTAGGGAAACTTGAACTGTCAATAGTATGATGTCTTTAGCTGACCTCAGAATATTAACTGTTTTAGATGAAACTTTACAAGATTTAACTATGCATCTGTTTGAGTACACTGAAAACTTGCATTCTCTGACTGAAAACTTGCCTTCTCTRTCATCTGGAAAACAAGCTGTGAAGAGCTAATTTAAGTAAATAAGTGAACTCTAAAGAGCTAATGTTACACAGGCTACAAATCATGGAGTTGAGAAAAGAGCTTGATATTGTTCAAAATACTGAATTCTAGGCACTTAAATAGGATATCTCTTTAAAATGAGTAAGTTGCATCAAAACTGAATCTCAGATACAGAATTTATTGAAATATATAAATATATACATGTGTTTTTTTTGTTTTTTTTTTTTCCTGCTGTAGGTTGTTTCCAAATGGCAAAAAGTGAATTCTGTGCTTGTAGATGATTTTATCGGCTCTGGAACTGAGCAAGTGTTACTGCTTTTTAAGGATGACTCCTGTGCAGATGTGTTAAGTACATTCAGAATAACAGATTTTGGAGAGATCAACTATGCAGTATGTTCAGCTTACCTTTTCCCAGCTATTTAGTCTGTGCTTTCTAAATTAAAAAAAAAAAAAATCCTTACAGCGTGTGTACAAAGTGAATTTGAGAAATGCCCTGAAGTTTTCATATAATTTTTTTTTTTTTAATTGTGAGATTTGGAGATGACTCTTACCTGAACAGATTATTCTATTGATAACATTGGCATTCTCTTAGGAAATTAAAATAATGCCCTTGAGAATGCCCTGCATATGTAAAAATTCTGCTACAATACTTTTGGCTAAAAATTTCTAATTAARTCATTAAATATCTGCTCATAATTGGATCTTTCTATTATGTGCCATCCATTTCTAATTATTTTCAGAAGATAATAGTTTACCTCTAGATCATATATTGTGGGTTTTTTCTTTTTTTTTTTCTCTTTTTTTTTGTAGACTTTCATAATGGTGTATTATAGTCTGTACCTTGCTGTCTACTGTTAATTTATCTTTTCTTTAGAATGGTATTAATTATAAAGATGATACTCCCATGGCAGAAGGCTTGCAAGAGAACAGTTTGCTGACAGTCCAAGCCCTTGAAACAAGATTACAGGTTTGTAGTGAGTAATTCTAACTCAACGTTTCCTTCAGATTACCTCTCTGTATCACTAATTATCTTAATGGTGAGGTTAAAATTATGTTTTYACTAGAGAAGTGAGTCAGGGAGAAATTGACATTAGTTGCTCCTTCCACTTTTGTCAGATTGTCTGAGATAGTCTGCCCTACCTTGACTGCTAAGAGCTCCATGCAAGTTCTCCTTTGACTCTCTTCTCTTCTCAAAAGCCAGTTGGCTTTTGCTTGTTGAGTTTTGTGAATCTGTGCCAGAATCAAATGAATGAAATGAATGTGCTTGTTCTGGTGAAAACAAGCTGCTGTCTGGAGACTTCTCATGTCTTCTGGTGATAAAATCTTGCTGACAGACGCATAGAGTCTTCCATAAGACTTATATTAGATATGTATCATCTAGTGTAAGTATAATCATATTCCAAGGATGCTTGATTTGATGCAATAATGCGTGGATCCTACTTAACWTTTGCAAATTTCCAGGCTATTTAGCCTTGAGCTGTTTCTCTTGATAGTTRTCAACAGAGCTCTAAGAACTTGTGATCAAACCATGCTGTGGTAGTCTCTATGCTATCTTCTGTTTGAAGGCAAAGAAAAAAAATAGCAAACACAGCCCTCTTTCATCCACATGTTGCTTATGTCGAAGTATTYAACGTATGGTAAATAGTTGTTTTCAGACAGAGGAGAGCTTTGGTAGAGTTGCATTGTGCTCACCATATAAGTAGATGGTATTTAAGTTAAATGCATTAGTACATGTAAGTAGCATTTTGCAAACAGGAAAGTGGCAGTAGCCCGTCTGTGGCAGCAGCACTGGTGTGCGCACGTCCTTTGATTTTGTTTTGGTTTTTTTTTGTTGTTGTTTTCTGGTTGTTTTGTTTTCATAAGAACTAATTCTTTACTATAATACATAAGCTTCAGCTTATAGTGTGTTTTTTGTTGGTTTTTGTTTTTTTGTTTTTTCTTTCCTTCATTCCATTTTTTCTGATCTTCCATTTTACCTTTGCTTTTCCTAGTATTTTGTTAGCCTTATCATTCATGCATTTACTTTCCTTTGCTGCAGTGTTGCTGTTCTTCATGTAGTAGTTTTTCCTCTTTCTAATAGCTATGGCTATTTATGAATATTGCAACTTGAACTGCAGTGTGTTTAAAAAAGCTTAAAAATGCAGGTCTTTTTCCTGTATTTAAGGGGAGAAAAGGCTCTCAAAAGTCAGACGGGGCAGCAAACATCAATCTG